GTCTAAAGCACCTACTTAGAACAAGCTTAAGCTAAGCAAAGCACAGGAACCGCAGTTCAATCCCCCAGCACCACATGCCAGCCAGCCCCGCCCCCTGGTGGGCTGAGCTGGCCACACACACACACACACACTAAATAAATAAATAAATAGGTTAAAAAAAAAGTTTAAAAAATACATAAATAAATGGAATGTGTCTCTCACTTTTCCTCTCTAAAGCTCAGCCAAGTCACAAGTAGAAACTACAGTACTGACAATCTTTGCCTCCCTCAAGGAATGTGGTATAGATTCCTCTTCTTAGGTCTATCATATTTCCAAGACAAACACCCTTGTCCCTGTCAAACATGCAGATATACAGTCCCCATAAATGGTTAAAAAGTTAGCATAGACCTGGACGCGGGTGGTAAGCCTGCGTCCAGCCTCTGTTGGGGCCCCAACGCAGTTTCCGGAGCCCAGGGGCTGAGGGCTAACACAGCAAATGCCTGACTCGGAAACAACCACGTAAGAATTTAGAAGTTCAGATACCAGGTGAAGATGACAGCAGAGATAAAGTTGGTTTAGAAAACGCCTTCATGACCCCGTGAGGCTCGGGCCACGCAGTGCTGTGCACAGAGTAGCTCTAGAGACGCCCTGACCGTCCCTTTCCTGGTGGCCCTCGCTAATTCTTCCGCGGCGCATCCGAGTACATCCAGACTTGTGAGGGGCGTGCAGATGTGGCGCGGCGAAAGGTGACCCAAACACAGCGAAGGAACTGAGTTCGCAGAAGAAGCTGGGACCAGGAAGAAGGGAGAGGATCGCCCCCGCGGCGGGGACGAAAGCCACGCTCCCTTGTCTGGGACTCGGGGGCAGGTTCGGAGCCGCCAGGACGAGAGACTGGAAGCCCGCGCAGAGCCCGGGCCGAGCCGTCCGCGCCGCTGCCCCGCGCCGCGTTCCCAGCCCGCAAGCCTCTGCCGGCTCCTCCCCGGGGTGGCGCTCGGGCGGCCAGCGTCCTGGCCGAGCCTCGCCTCCGCCAGCAGAAGGCAGCGAGGGAGCAAAAACTCTGCGGGGGAGGGAGCTCGTAGAGTTCCGGACGCCGCAGGAAACCTCGTGTGCGCACCGGGCGCGTCCCCGCAGTCTCCCGGCCCGCACGGCGCCCGGCGACCGCGGGACCTCCTTGGCACCCGCGAGCCTGAGGCGGACCTGCGGCGGGGGACGGTCGCCCAGCTGACCTGTGGGCGCTCCGCTGCGGCGTAGCCCTGGCCGCCTGTTCCGCTGGTGCCAAAATCGGTCAGTGAATTAATAAAGCATTCTAGATTGAATGCAAACTCCAAGCACCAGAATGAAGATGATAAGTATTTTCAATCAATTATACCCCTTGAATTAAATGTCTCTGTTTCTACAGTAAAAAAAGGAACAAAAAAACAAACAAACAAACAAAAAAACCTCCATAAAGTTGTGATGAATAAGTAACAGTAAAATTGGCTTAGAAAATTTATGTAGCAAATGGTAAGCACTGTGAAAACCAATTGACATTACTATAGTTTCTGTGACTAATACAATAAATAATAAACTATCAATAATCTGCAGTTCTATGCAGCAAAATAGGAGGAAAAGTAGAACAACAACAAACAAAAAACTCCACCAATATATTCAATTCACAGATCAGACTCAAATGGTTAATATATTTGAGACTACTTCCTAACTTATGTGTAACAATGTTTAAGACATTAACATATCATCTGCCTCTTTTTATTTCTACTTTAGATTTCTGAAATCACGAAAATAATTATCCCCGAGTTGACAGAAAACTGCATAAAGTATATTAAAACTTACAAGTCTCAGGGCTGTAGATAGATGTAGCTTGGTGGTAGAGTAATCTCCTAGCATACTTGAGGCCCTGGGTTCAATTTCCATCACTGCTAAAAAGGAAAAACAGAACCCTTTACAAAACTATGCTAGAGAAACAGCTACACTGAATCAGGGCTCTGGCCTAGGACGACCAATCCATATCCCCATTTCCCCCTATCTCCAGCCCTCCCTTTCCGCTCCAGGGTTGGAGAAAAAGTAAA